GCCAGACTCTGCCAGGACATCCCTCGGGTGATGTGTCCCTGAGGGCCAGACTCTGCCAGGACATCCCTGCCAGGACATCCCTCGGGTGAAGGTGCTTTGTCAGAACAGCTGGTATTCCCTCTCCTCCCTTCTGATGCTTCAGGTTGGCCAGACGCCCGCTGTCCGAGAGGCAGAGCAGTTTCCATCCATCAACTGCATCAAATGAGGCGATGGGTGACTCCTAGAGCCTCCCCTGGGGGACAGAGGTACGAACGCACCTCCCAGGAGTGAGGAGGTGACAGGGGCTTGGAGGAGGAAGGGGCGTGCCCAGGAGGGGTTAATGATGAGATGGGAGAAGCCTAGGAGGGAGGGAATAACCTGAGGGTACCAAGTCCCGCTCTCCCTAAACTCTTCCTGTGAAGCCCTGTGTTTCTGGGGTCGTGAAGAGAGAAGCAGCCCAGGATGGCGTCCAGATTCAGGTTGCATCCCTACTCTGCTCTTTGTGGCCCTGCTTGTCACGTGGCACGTGCTCCAAAAATACCTGTGCGAAGTGGATCAACCACTCAGAAGAGCTCGCACTTGGAGTTTGTGATCCTGGTGAGATTCCCGAGGTCCTGGAATCCAGGAAAGATGGGCTGGAAGCAAAGTGGATTCACATCCCGACAACATCACTCAGCGACCTTGAAATGGAGCAGGACCTGTGGTCCTTCCCCCGCCATGTGCTCAACCTGCCTTTTTTTTTTTTTTCTTTTTTTTTTGCAGTACGCGGGCCTCTCACTGTTGTGGCCTCTCCCGCTGCAGAGCACAGGCTCCGGGCGCGCAGGCTCAGTGGCCATGGCTCACGGGCCCAGCCGCTCCGGGGCATGTGGGATCTTCCCGGACCAGGGCATGAACCCACATCCCCTGCATCAGCAGGCGGACTCTCAACCACTGTGCCACCAGGGAAGCCCTCAACCTGTCTTTTGTCTGTAGAAAAACTTTGGTCAAAGAATCTGTTTAATCAGAGAAGGAGAAAATGCAGAAGCAAAGGAAAACAGCCAAACAGGACAAAGTAATAATAGTTTAATCATGAAAGACAAGGGTCTTTAGTTCCTCCTCAGGGCTACAGATAATATTCTGAGCCACATCCTGTGAGCTGTCCAAAACCCCCACCAGGTGGAAGAAGTTACCTACATCATGACCAGACTGTAGCCACGACATAGGCTGCCACAATTCTGAGAACTGGCCTCAAGAAAATGGGAACAAACTGACCCTGGAACTGAAGATTAATTGTACTTAAAACTTCCCTGGTGGCGCAGTGGTTAAGAATCCACCTGGCAATGCAGGGGACATGGGTTCAATCCCTAGTCTGGGAAGATCCCACATGCCGTGTAGCAACTAAGCCCGTGCGCCACAACTACTGAGCCTGCACTCTAGAGCCCGTGAGCCACAACTACTGACCCCACGTGCCACAACTACTGAAGTCCGTGTGCCTAGAGCCCGTGCTCTGCAACAAAAGAAACCACCACAATGAGAAGCCCATGTACAGCAACGAAGACCCAACACAGCCAAAAATAAATAAATAAATAAATTTAAAAAACAAAACAAAACAATTAAGATGACGCTGATCAGACCACTGCATGACCAACTTCAAGATGACTGTCAGAGCTGGTGGTGCAGTTTCTGCATGTAGCCCCTTCCCTCTGCCTATAAAAGCTCTTGCCCCCTGATTGTCGGGGTGGGGTGGTGGTGGTGGAAGTTGGCCTTTGGACAGGAGTCTGCCCGCTCACCCCAGGTTGCTGGCATCTAAAATGAAGCAAACTTTCCTTTCCAGCAATCTGGCGTCCTTATTGGCTTCAGAGCTGCGAGCAGCCGGACCGTACTTTCGATATCAACCTGATCTTGAGGAAAGAGAAAGAACTCCACATTTGAGTTGGTTCACTTCCTTAACCCCCTCACCACACTCCTTTAAAGTAGTCAGACAACAGCCTTATTTTTCGAATCAGGAGACTGAGTCCCACAGAGATTCCTGGAGCAAAGCTCATCAGGCTGGTCGGCAGAAGAGCTGGGCTCTGGACCCCGGTTTCTGTGACTCCAAAGCCACTGTTTGGACCAGATTATATAGGTACAGCACTCACGGCAGTGCTCTCGTTTATAGCACAGGGACCGGGTACCACCAGGGTTGCTGGGGGGATGGTGAGATAACATAAGAAAAGGCCACGCACAGTTCCTTGGCGACAAATGTTAATCACCAGCAATTACTGGTTTGTCCTCCACTGCAGAGAGGGATCCACACGGTACCTGGCAGTGTTAACAAACTTGTCAATGAGGTCAAAACCCATTATGAGTCCCACTGCTTCCCCAGCAGCCTGGCCACCACATCGATGTGGTTATTATACCCTAACTTATTTAAGGAAGGATTTAAGGCAGCTTATAAAGATGAAAGCGGCTCAACGACTTAAAGTGTAAATTGTGTGGAAGAAGACGCAAGCACAGAGGACAAGTGAGCAAAGACCAGGCGTGAGCTGCTGTGCAAACACCCACCTCACCCCGCGTGTGCACCACGTGTACTTACTGACGCTGGGCCCACTTTTGGCGTAAAGACTTCTACAAGCTAAAGCATGGCAGGAAACGGGAATGCAGTTTGTTTTCTGGGAGACGTTCACCCTCCCTCTTGATGGAGGTCAGGGGTGTCTCCGCACAGAGAGGACGCGGCTCTCCCTCCACCACACGAGAAAGCTGGGAGCTTAAGCCACCCCTGCAGGAGGAGCGGGGACCCCACCCAGCATCTGAGAGCCATTACTCTTGGTGCTGCCACTGCCATCAGCGTCTATAGAGCAGCACGTGTCACGTTCCTCCACCCTCAGCCCTGGCCTGTTCATCCCCATGTCTGTGCATCGAAATCCACCTTCCAGCCCCAGCCAAACACCTGCTCCTCTAGAGAAGCAATCTCTCCTTTTTCTGAACTCCCACAGGAGGGTGTGTGTGTATGTGTCTCTGTGTCTCTGTGTGCGTGCCTGTGTGTCTGTGTGTGTGTGTATGTGTATGTGTGTGTCTCTGTATGTGTCTGTGTGTGTGTCTGTGTGTGTATCTCTGTGTGTCTGTGTGTGTCTGTGTGTGTCTGTATATGTATGTCTGTGCATGTGTATCTGTTTGTGTGCCTGTCTCTGTGTATGTGTCTGTGTGTGTGTGTTTGGGAAGAGGAGTGAGTGGAGCTTAGGGTCTGGGGACAAGACTCTCCTGAACACTTTAAAAAAGTGTATAAAATGGTTCTTACATGCAAGTGTGAATAAGCAGTACAGCAAATATACTGTCACAATTCTGAGTGGCGCCAGGTGGTTCCCGGACTCGTCTGTCGCGGGTTCTGTCTTGGCTCTGCTCTCTGTGGATCTGTAGAGATTACAGCACCCTTTTTGACAGAAAGCAGAGCCCAGGAGAGGAGCTCTGCTTTCAGCTCCTTTGCTGAGCTCCCGCCCTCCTTCTGCCCTTGGCCTCCACGCTCCCCACCCTCCCCAGGGCACAGGGCAGGCAGAAGAGGGTCCCGCGGCAGAAGCAGCCCAGCACTCGTGCTCCTGGACTTCAGCGTCTTGGTTTTGACCTTTGACTCCACCCCTGCACCCCAGCGGCCCCTTTGCCACTGGAAGCAACGTTCCCTCGATTCCCCTCCTCATCCAGAAGCCGGGAGTCTTCTCCGAGTTTTCCCACGTTTAACCCTCTCAGCGATGCAGTTGAGAGAGAAGGCGGGGGTCTCGAAGCTTCGGGGAAAATGCCATCTCCCTCCTGAGCTGCTGCCGGTGAGTCACACTTGGCCTGGCTGGGTCTCCCCGACTCCGCTGCTCAGGCCCCCGCCCCTCCCCACAGGGCCACTCGTCCCTGAGTTCCAGCAGGGGACCTGCTCCCTCTCCTGGCTGTTCACACAGGCCTTGGGACTTCAGCATGTGGTGACAAAGCTGACCCACCCGTGACCTAGCTCCCCACTTTTACGAGCACCTGCCCTGAATCAGGACCCTCTGTGCTGCTCCCCCCGAGGCCACCTCGTGGAGGAGCTGGGGCATGGGACCTGGTCGCAGCACCCCAGGGCCCTCTGTCCAGTGTCCTGTGTCCCCGGCGCTGGCCCTGTTCCCCTATCCCCCTCTGTCCCCCTCCTGCTTCACCCTTTCCAGGTCTTAGATCTCTTGATGCACCTCTTGGCATCTTTGTCTCTTTGTATCTAATTGGTTCTTAGTAGTTACTTATGAAACAGTCTGTAAAACTATGTCTCCATCAGGACACCCCAATACAAGAGTCCCCATTGGCTGGTACGAGATGCCAGTAATTACGTTTCCCCTCTTGTGGGAACGAGGCGTGGGGAGCAGGCAGGGGACCGAGGGCCAGCCCCTCAGGAGCTGCACTGACCGCTCAGAAACGCTGACCACCTTCGGGAAGGCAGCTCCCCGGCTTTCCCGGGCAGCCCCCAGGGCGGGGGCTCCTCCCTCAGCCCCGGCTCAGCCTCCAGAGCGAATGAGGGGCTCGGTGCAAACGGCCGCCGGTGAACCCGTTACCCATGTGAAAATAGCACTGGATCTGAGTATCCTTTTATTTTTATTTCTAAAGCCTCTGTTGTACAAGCCTTCAACTTGGGGCAATGTGCTCATAAAACACAATTCCGGCACAGAGCGGCGACGATTAAATTAAAACTTAACGGGGCCTGACAGCTGAGGACGTTGGAGTGGGAGAGGCAGAGCCCTTGTGGTCCTTCCGATCCGAGCCGGCCTCCCTGTCAGCGACTCGCAGGGCGGACGTCGCGGCTGAAAACCAGCCAAAGCCGGAGAAGTTCCTGTGCGGGGAGAAGAAAGAGCGGGCCAGCTCCCGGCTTCTGTCTTCTTCCGGACCAGTGGCCACCGCAGGGCCTTGGCTTCGTCTGGCCTCACTTGAACTCTCTGGGCTGGCCCCGCCCCCTGCTGGCTCACCGTGGGCGGGGTCTGGGCCCGCGCTTCCTCCGCTTCCTGGGGGAAGAGCCCAGGGTGGGGAGTAAGGCAGAAAAGAGATGTAAAGGAGAGCGAGCTGGCTGCTGTGATGTGGTCCTGTCGCGGGCAAGGCTCCGGGAGTGAGTGAGCCTGCAGGACGGTAGGTCTGGAGACGATGCCCCCCAGCCGCCCAGAGTCTCAGGCTCGGCTATGGGGTGAAGTCTCTTCTCAACAGTCAGGTTAAGAAAAGGCATAAACAGTGCGTCTGCAGCTGGAGCCCTGGAGCCAAAGGACACGGCAGTTAACGCCGGGGGTGAGGGGGAGGAGGGCGACTTGGGGAGACGCTCAGCGGGCGTGGTAGTTTCAGGAAAAGCTTCAGACTTTCAACAAATCCCTTATCCCCCTTCTCTCTCTTGCCCTTCCAGCCGCTTCAGAATTGATATGAAGTTGCTGTTTACTAACTCGGCTCTGCCCAGACTTTTCCAGACCTTTTGGGAGAAATGGCAGTTTTCACTGCAAAGCGTTCTCACAGCTAAAGTCCTGAGGGGTGTGCGGTGCGGGGCCCGTGTGGGCAGTGACTGAGCACAGAAGGCGTCCACACCCTCCCACGGCTGGGGTCCCTGCCTCCAGCCGGGTGGGGAGGTCGGGGGCTTTCGGGGTGAGAGGTGTGAGCCCAGGCGTCACCCTCGCCCGTGTGCTGGGCGGCGCCTCTTCTGCGCCCTGGGGCTGCTTCTCTGCAGCTGTCACCAGGCCAGCTTCCCCTGCCTCTGTCTCTCCTCCATCCCAACCTCCCGCCCCGTGGAGAGGACAGGGTGGTGAGGTGTAGGCAGCGGTGGGCCAGCCTGGGGTTCTGTGGCTCCGAAGTGTGCGGAGGCTCACTCCTCCCCCCGGCCCTGAGGGGGGCAGTTTGGTCCCTGGGTCACCCAGATGCAGTCAGAGTCCAGGACGGCACCTTCTTGCCCGTGGATCCTGGCCCGAGGGGCTAGAGGCAGGAAACGCACCCAGAGCCTCACTCTCTCTGTTCCCCCTGCAGTGGTCACATCACGTCTGCACCAAGGTCGCATCACCGAGACTGTGCACAGGGACCTGGACGCACCCACGCACATGCTCCTCCATGGATTGAAGAGGGAAGGTTCCCGGGAACAGGTGGGAGCATCCCTGGGGGTCACAGCGCAGGGTCCCCTCCAGAAGACCCCTTCCCGGCTCAGAGGCGAGTGTGGGGGTGGAGGGTGGGAGGAGGGGACTCCTCCGCCCCTGCTCACTCCACAGCGCCCTCCAGGCCTCCACCTGCTTCCAAACACATCTGTGGAGGGGATGCTGGCTCCTGCCTTGTGAAGCTCAAGCTGGAGGACAAGAAACCCCTCCTCCTTCCCCTGCATCCCCAGGCCTGACCTCAGATGGAATTGGTGACCATGACCGTGCATGGTGCTTGCAGGTGGGGGCCAGTGTCCTTGCTCTAAACGCAGGATCTTCCCCTGCCTGTCGAGTGTGTAACCCTGAACTCAAATGGGCTTTTTGGCTACATTTGTCAAATCAACTCAATCCAACACTGCCTCGAAAGGGTGCGTTTAAAATAAGAAATGAGTTGAAGAATGCAAAATATAGCCCACAAGACAGCATCATCCCACGTGCTTCTCCATATGTCTCCTGGGCTCCTCAGGCCCCTCCTTCTGGCCGCTGAGCCACCTCCTGTAGACCCCCCAAGCCCGCACCGCCCACCGTGGGGCAGCTGAGGGGACAGGTCCACGTGACAACATCAGAGCCATTATGTCAGGGATCTGAGTCCACCAAGGACACACTGGAGTCCCGCGGGGCTTTGCTGAGGGCAGGTTCAGGTGAGATCAGTGACTCTCCATCGCAGCTGGGCCTCAGGGTCATTGGAGGAGATTTATGTGTTTCTATCCAGGCCTTATCCTGGAAAATTCTAATCAGAAGATATGAGGTGTAATTCACAAGACTGTTTAAAAAAATCCATAGGTGATTATGCTGCATCCAGTGTGAAAACCACTGGACTAGATCATTGGAAATGGTATTGAAATTAAGATTGTGTGTCCATCGAAGGTGGGTCAGGTTTGGATTTGCCTCACTGAACTGATTTAAAAACACAGGATGTTGGACTGTGTTTCTAGTTCTTCCTGGAAGAGGCGTGGGCTGTGTGGCACCTGAAGGCTTTTCATGGTCCAGAATGTCCCTTGTATCACGTCAGCTTTACTTGTGTGAGGGCAGGACCCCGGCATGTGAAAAAAAAAAAATCACTTGCTTCCGTATGTGCCATTTCAGCTAAAATGTCACCTCAAGGGCACAGGAACCAAAGTCACTTCCGGGGCCTCCCTCCAGTTGCTGCCGTGATGCCGATCACAGCGGCCTGGGTGTCTTCCCCACCTGGCACGTCTAATCCCCTGATCTGAACACCCGGCTCTCTTGTGACCCAGCACAGACTCTCCAGGAGATTTCAAAGCTTCCATCCCAGCCGGGTGGACCAGAATCTTCCATCCTGGTTATCCGCCATCCTGCCCATTGAGGTGGCTGTCACCCTGTGAGGACCACGAGACGCCGTCAGGAGGGAACAGCGAAGTGACCTAAATCTCTGGCTGGAGGAGGCACATCCTATGCTCGCTCTCCCGTAGCTGGTGCTGCAGATGAGCCAGGGCGCCCTGTGTGTCCTGGTTTACGGAGCAGAAGGTACGGTCACCCACGAAACCGTCAGGGACCTCTCTGCACCCAGGGCAGGTTCTAAGGCATGAAAGATCAATTCTGTGGAGACTCCTTGGCCCCAGAGCTGCTGGGGAATCTGCCAGAGAGCCCATGGTTTCCATAGAAACTACGGATGAGTTTAGCATGAGTCCCCGTCCTGCCACTCAGGTCCTAGAAGAAAGATCAGTAGCAGGGGGACGATCGCTGGGCTAGGGCTCCCTACCCCTGGCTGTGAGCGGACCAAGCCCGTCGGGATGAGGCCCACGGGGAGGAGACGGGCCCTTCTCCACCCCGAGAGGAGGCCCAAGTCTTGGATCCGTTTGGAAGACCCAACGCTTGCATCTTTCGCTCCAATGTAAGTCCGAGTTAGAAATTGCCTTTAACCTATAAATCACTGCAAGTACTTTTGCAGAGGCAAAGTTGAGAACTTACCTAAATAAACTAGAATAAAGTGTGTAAACAGTGCAATCAGTCCGCTTCTTCTGCCCGTTTTCCCCTTTGCTTCTGGAATCCTGAGCGTAAGTGTGGACAGTACACGCTCACGCAGCCCTCCTACTCCAGGAAAATTACCTTTTTCTATTTTTACAGATGATCTCCCAGTAGGAAACTTCCCAAACTATAGAAGGTTATTTTTGTTATCTCTTTAACCTATATTTTTGTTGTTGCAATTTAAACTTTTCTCTAGTTATATACCAGGTGAAATTTTGAAAAATAACAAACACGCACAACCATAAGACTTGAAGATCCTGTCCCCTGCCAGGCACTTTGGATCATCTCCCATGCGCTGAAACCTCACCATATGTTCTCAATCTCTCTCCCACAGGCTCCACAGATCACTGGAATTTCTTTTTTCTTTTGCTTTTTTTTTTTTTTTTTGCGGTACGCGGGCCTCTCACTGTTGCGGCCTCTCCCGTTGCGGAGCACAGGCTCCGGATGCGCAGGCTCAGCGGCCATGGCTCACGGGCCCAGCCGCTCCGCGGCATGTGGGATCTTCCCGGACCGGGGCACGAACCCGTGTCCCCTGCATTGTGGACTCTCAACCACTGCGCCACCAGGAAAGCCCCCTGGAATTTCTTTTTTTGCTCTCAGATTCAAGGAGGTTTAAGAAGGAAACTCCTAAGGCTTTTGAAATGTGGAGGCTCTGGGGCCTGGGACCGGGTGGAGAAGAATATCCCTCCAAGGCGAGGATCCAAGGTAAGCGTCTGTAGCAGGCGATCAGGCCTCCCCGGAGGCGTCTTCCCTCTGTGAGATGAACACAGGTGTTCTGGTCCCCAAACAAGAAGTCCTCTGGATGACCAGGGCTGCCTTCACAGCCAGGATGGTCCTTTCATCCCGAGAGGCTGGTGGAGATGGACCCGCCTCCTTCTGGACCCTGCGGCCCCGGGAACTGTGTTCCAGGCCTAGGTGCTCCAAGCCCCTCCTGCCCTTCTAGCTCCTCGCTGGGTGGGGCTCTCACGGGTCACAGCATCGGGGGGTCAACAGAGGCGCCAACTGGACGTTTGCTCAGGACAAGAGTCTGCTGCAAGGCCTGTGCTGCAACGTGCATTCAGACAGTTGAGTCCAACCAAGTCAAGCTTTGTGGGAAGAGAGTAAAAAGGGAAGAGCCCGGTCAGGTGACGGGTGATGAGGTCCTTTCAAGGAAGCAGACACGCCCAGGAGGATCACAGGATGCCCACCAGTTCAGGGGGACGACAGTCTGTGTTCCGGTTCCCGGTTCCATGACCCAGGGCCCTCGGCACAGAAGTGAGGGGTCTGGGAGGAGGGACTGGGGTCCCGGGCCCGGGTGTGCGCCGGCCTGGCAGAGAGGCAGGGAGGCCCCGCTTGGCTCTCGGCTCAGAACCAGGACCAGGCCTCCCCTCCCCACGCAGCCCCGGCCCTGCTGTGGAGGCCTTGGGACAGCCGGGGGCGGGGGGACTGCCCAGACAGGGGTCCCAGCAGCACTTACAGGGCCGCCTCGATGGACTGGATTTTCACCCAAAGCCGTTGAGAGGAAAAATGTGTTTATTTTGTAAGTCCTGGGATTTGCCCAGAGCCGTTTAATGATAGCCAAGAAAACACAGCAGTGTGTGTCTGTGTATTTTTCCTTTTAACGCTTCCCATCGGGGTGCTGGTCCCTGGGAGCAGTCCTGGCTGTGAGAGCCCTTGGATGGGGTCTTGATGGGCCGCCTGTCCCCCTGTGAGGTCTGCGGTGACCGGGGGCTGACGGTCAGCTGTGTCTAGGGAGGTGTCCACGCCCCTACTGTCGACCCCTCCCCACGGCTCCGGCTCCCCAGGCAGCCCCTGCGGAAGCCCCTGCGGCACTTGGGGCCTCAGCTGCAGCCCCTCCGACAGTACAGCATCGCCCCCGGGGGGCTCCACAGGCGGCCTGTGCTGTGGCCACACCTGTCTGAGAGGAGGGAGCACTGCGCGCTTCTGCGACGACTCAGCCACAGGTGGTCCTGCAAACAGCCAAGCCATTTCTGCTTCCATTCCATCTTCTGTGCTGGTCGGGGAGCTTCCCTCTCAGCTCCCTTCGTCTGGTGGTCTCAACACCTTCCCAGCACAGTGGCTCTTAGTAAATGCTGGTTCCTAATTCCCCCTCTGTCCCTGGCTGCTCCCGCCGGAGCCCACACCGTCTCTGTGCACCGCCCCCTCCCGGCTGTGCCTGGAACCCTGGACATAGCCCGCAGGGTGAGAAGGGGTCTCAGGATCAGGCCTCAGGGAGGATTCCCCGCCTCCTCCCAGCCCTGCCTGGTCTCCCACAGCCCCAGCCTCCCTCCCGGCCCAGAGTCCAAGGACCCTTCACCGTGGCCCTGCATCCCCCGGGGACCTGAGCTGGCAGCAGCGGGACGGCGGGCCGCCAGGGCCCCCTCTGCACCCCGTCCTCTGAGGGTCAGAGCTGCTCTGGGCAGGAGGGGGACTTGGGCTGGACTTGCCCTGAGAGGCCTCGGCGGTCCTGGTGGGCTGAAGCGTTCCTGCTGGGCTGGGGTTGAGGTCGGGATCCCCACATCCCTGCCCACACCCTGAGACTCGTCCCTCCTGGGGGCTGCTCGTCCAGCCCATATGGGATTATCACGCAGAGCAGGACCGAAAGCCCCGTTTCTACAGAAGGAGGCTAGTTTGCTTAGCTCCATGCGTGGCCATTAATTAGAAAAATTAATCTTAGCCACACAACAAAATAAAATTGATGATTCAGTGACAGCTAATCACTTGCTGGAAATGAAAGATGCCCTTACAATGAAGATTTATTTTGTGTTATTTCTTCCCCAAGCACTCTTAACTGACTGAATAATGTTGTAATGACCACTCTGATATTTCCACATGTACTTTTAAGAATTTATAAAGTGATCTGTCTTCTGAGGGGTCCAGGGAGGTCCTTGAACGGTACAGTTAAAGCAGGGGCGGGCAAGGCTCTCACCCCTCCAGGGCTTCAGACGGGTCACGCGCAGCCTTCGGAGCTGGGAGACCTGGGTAGGGGGCGTAAG